CTCAAGCTCATTACCGCCTCCCCCAAGTCCTCCTCACTGATCCTACCTTCAAGCTCCACCCTCTCTTCCCTAAAATTCCCCAAATTCCCACCCCTATAATCTCTCCCTCCCTCCCTCCACCCTCCCCCTGCTTAAAATTCTCCCTGAACCAATGATCAGCATAGTTACTCATTCCATCAGTGGTTCTTAGTGCCTGCCCCACCCTATAGCCCCCTGCCCCTTTACACACCTCTAATCCCATAATCGTGGTCATCTGCTGTCTTTCCCTGAACCTCTGCAAAACACATCCTGACGGTTTATCACCTCATAGTACCTCTTCTAATCCATCCCTCACACATATCGCATCAAAACGAGAATTCTGTATATCCTTCAATCTTCCCCTTAAAACCTCAATTTTCCCATGCCTACCACCCCCACCCCCTTCATAGCAATCATTGAGCTGCCCCTCAAGGTATTTCTGTAGTCCAAACCTCCACCGTGCATCATCCCATTCTCTATGCTGGTAATAATCCTTAATCCGCCGTTTAGCTTGCGTCTCCCACCATCCCAAAACATCTTCCTTGATGTTGCGTGCCTCCCAGAATCATCTCCACCAGTCCCTGAATGTAAACCCCTCCCCCTCCCCCTGAAGTAACCTCACATTTTCCAATAACCTGCATACCGGCAAACCATACCATCCCATGCCACCTCTGCCAACACGGCACGATGGTCCGAAAAACCTACGTCAACCGTCAGCACACGTTCTACTGTAATCTCACGAGTTAAGTATATGCGATCTAATCTGGCTGCATAATCCCTCCGCATAAACGTGTGCTCCACTTTCCACCCATCACCCCTGACTACATCATAAACCCCTGCATCCCTCAACAAAGCCTTCAACACCCCAAGCACACACCCTGCACCCCACGGCTCCACATCCTTATTTCTAATTACACAATTCCAGTCCCCACCTACTATGGAAACCATGGGTAAACCCCTCAAGTGGAAAAGCAGAACATCTCATATAAAATTCACCTTTATCCGTCTGTTACTATCAGCCAGCATATATATCCCCAGAAAACACACTCTAATCTCCCCTCAGATCCCCTCCACCCTCACCACTCTCCCCTCCCCCCTCTTCCCACGCGAGCACTTGAAATGGGCTGGATTCCCTCACTGCCACTGCCACCCCACCCTTTACTTTCCCTGAACCACCAGCATACATCCTAAACCCTTTCAACCTCAACTCTCTGCCACACTTAAAACTGTGTTCCTGTATAAAGCACACATCAACATCAAAACGTCTCAAAACATTCTCGAACCATACACGTTTAGCTTCAGCTCTTAGGCCATTCACATTTATAGTTAAACACTTAAAGATGCAAAAAAGGTGGCTTTCCTCTATGTCTCTGTGTCCTGTCTATAACGCTTTTTATTACTCCTGACTTCTCCCGTACACTCTTGCCCTCCTTGATTCCCTCCCTCCCCTGTGTACTACTCTGCTCTTTCTTAGTTACTCCCGCCCACATCTTCTTGCCAGGTCGCTGAGCTGGAGTAATGATCTCGTCATCCGACAGGTCTCCAGCTCTCTTCCTAGAAGCCCCCTCAATCTCCATGTCATTATTTCCACTCTCCCTGTGCACCTCAGCGTCCACCTGCAACAACTGCAACATGCCAGATCCTGACCCCGTCGACCCCGTGGCCTGTCCAGTCAGGTCGTCAACCATCAGAAGTCCCCCGTCTAGAGCGGGGTTCTCCTCCGCTGGCACGTCTAGGAAGGACTTAATCATCTCCTGCAGAGGTTCAGATAATTCCTGTAGGTCACCAGCCTCCCCCACTCCCACAGGCTGCTGCTCCACTTCAGGTTCTTCCTGTGGGGGAGCTACCAAAGCTTCTGGTAGCGTCACACAACGCTCCTCCACACCGTCCACTTCATCCTCCCAATTTCCTTTGCCTGCTGCAACCACCGCAGCAGATGAAGGAGCCACCAACAACTCTGTGGCTACTGGCATTTCCTTTGACCGTGGAGCTGCAGCCTTACCACACCCGGCTGCCATGTGATCAAAAGCATCACACAGTCGACACGTTTTGAGTGTCACAAACACCTGTGTCCTAAAATCCACCAGGACAACATACGAGGGGATAGGTCTTCTCAAAGCCATCTTGATATTGGAAGATCCTGCAGGAAGCCCCGCGTAGATTCCATCCGTCCATCGTTCCAAAGTCACAACATGTACCTCACCATAGCTTCGAAAAGTCTCTCGAATATCCACGTCATCTGCTTCAAAAGGAACATTCCGAATCCTCACCCAGGTGTAGTATTTGGAGGCATCCCGCAGGCGTACCTCCAGCCCAGATGAAACAGTGATACATCTTTCCTGGTAGTTACTTACCGTCCTTTCGTAAGCTTCCACTGTGCAGAACTTGACGAAAATCCTTGTAGAACCATTCAGAGCAATCCCATATAACTCACCGTTGGCAACACAGAAAGTATCCCTGATGATCGTCGGCAGCAAAACAGAGGCATTTGTAGGGTAAATTGCCCCTTTGACTAAGTCAACACACACAGTGTTACTCCTCCTTCGGCCACTGGCAGCCATCTTGGAGAAAACAGGAAGTTGCGCAACAGAGAAAGCAGGAGCTTTTGCGCAGCACGTCCACACGGCCGGAGAGCGATGAGGACAATGTCCATCAGTACTACGCACATGCAGCACCTGTTTGGAACCCGCACTTTATCAAGCACGTCAAGAAATTAGAGAAAGTGCAATGGTTTGTGACAAGGTTAGTTAAGGTAAATCTGCCTGACGACACTGGAGGACAGGAGGGTCAGGGGAGACATGATAACGACATATAAAATACTGTGCAGAATAGACAAGGTGGACAAAGACAGGATGTTCCAGGGAGGGGACAGAGAAACAAGAGGCCACAATTGGAAGTTGAAGACTCAGATGAGTCAAAGGGATGTTAGGAAGTATTTCTTCAGTCATAGAGTTGTCAGGCCGTGGAATAGCCTAGAAAGTGACGTAGTGGAGGCGGGAACCATACATAGTTTTAAGACGAGGTTTAATAAAGCTCATGGAGCAGGGAGAGAGAGGACTCAGTAGCAACCAGTGAAGAGGCGGGGCCAGGAGCTAAAACTCGAACCCTGCAGCCACAAATAGGTGAGTACAAATAGGTGAGTACACCATAGTGTAACACCATCAGTTCTATGCACCATAGTACTCACCTAATTGTACTCGCGTAATTGTAGTTTCAGGGGTCGAGACTCAGCTCCTGGTCCTGCCTCTTCACTGAACGCTACTAGGTCCTCTCTCTCCCTGCTCCATGAGCTTTATCATACCTCGTCTTAAAGCTATGTATGGTTCCTGCCTCCACTACATCGCTTGCCTGACTGTTCCACTTCCTGACCACTCCATGACTGAATAAATACTTCCTAACATCCCTGTGGCTCATCTGAGTCTTCAACTTCCAAGAGTGACCCCTGGTTTGTGTTCCCTCTATGGAACATTTTGTCTCTGTCCACCTTGTCTATTCCACGCAGTATTTTGTGTATCGTTATCATGTCTCCCGTATCCCTCCTGTCCTCCAGTGTCGTCAGGCCGATTTCCCTCAACTTTTCTTCCTAGGATATTCCCCTTAGCTCTGGAACTAACCGTATCGCAAACCTTTGCACTTTCTCTAATTTCTTGACGTTCTTGACCAGGTGTGGGCTCCAAATTGGTGCTGCATACTTCAGTATGGGCCTGACGAACACGGTGTACAGTGTCTCGAAAGATTCCTTACTGAGGTATCGGAATGTTAATCTCAGGTTTGCCAGGCGCCCATATGCTACAGCAGTTGTCTGGTTGATGTGTACCTCCGGAGACGTGTTTGTTGTTATACTTACGCCGAGATCTGTAACACCATCAGTAATATACACCATAGAGTAGCACCATCAGGGCACCGCACCATAGAGTAGCACCATCAGTGCTATGCATGTCAGTAGCACCATCAGCGCTACCCACCATAGAGTAGCACCATCAGTGATACGCACATTTTGTAACACCGTCAGTGCTACACCCTAGAGAAGCACCATCAGTGCTACGCACCATAAAGTACACCATCAGTGCTACGCACCATAGAGTAGCACCATCAGTGCTCCGCACCATAGGGTAACACCATCAGTGCTACACCATAGAGTAGCACCATCAGTGCTCCGCACCATAGAGTAGCACCATCAGTGCTACGCACCATAGAGTAGCACCATCAGTGCTACGCACCATAGAGTAGCACCATCAGTGCTACACCATAGAGTAGCACCATCAGTGCTCCGCACCATAGGATACACCATCAGTGCTACACCTATAGAGTAGCACCATCAGTGCTACGCACCATAGACTAGCACCATCAGTGCTCCGCAGCATAGAGTAGCACCATCAGTGCTCCGCACCATAGAGTAGCACCATCAGTGCTCTGCACCATAGAGTAGCACCATCAGTGCTCCGCACCATAGAGTAGCACCATCAGTGCTCCGCACCATAGAGTAGCACCATCAGTGCTCCGCACCATAGAGTAGCACCATCAGTGCTCCGCACCATAGAGTAGCACCATCAGTGCTCCGCACCATAGAGTAGCACCATCAGTGCTCCGCATCATAGAGTAGCACCATCAGTGCTACGCACCACAGAGTAGCACCATCAGTGCTCCGCACCATAGAGTAGCACCATCAGTGCTCCGCACCATAGAGTAGCACCATCAGTGCTACGCACCACAGAGTAGCACCATCAGTGCTCCGCATCATAGAGTAGCACCATCAGTGCTACGCACCACAGAGTAGCACCATCAGTGCTACGCACCACAGAGTAGCACCATCAGTGCTACGCACCACAGAGTAGCACCGTTAGTGCAACAAAATCAGTCGTGTCATTTCATCACGGAAACTCACGGAACATTGTTATTCTATGTTTACATAATTATTCCCAGCATCACCTGTCTCCTCTCTCACCATCTTGATTCTGGAAGCCATTTTTTCCCCTGTGTAGTTCCCGCTGCCTCACAGCCGGGGCAGCAGCCACGGCCAGAGTCGCATCAACCGTCTGGCAAACTTTGGAGATGCAGCTCTCACTGGGATCATGAGAGACGCCTTTACTCAGTGGGAGAGTCTCCAGCAGGACTCTGGCAGTAACCTCTTCAGGTGAGTCCTTCTTTACTGACAGTTCATCTCGCATTATTGGCAGTCGTTATATCACTTTCATTCTTCTTGGTTCGCCGGTTGAAGTATGGCATCCAACTTGGGGAGATCTGTCCTTTTATTTATGTAAGTGTTCAGCACTTATATGATAAAGTAGTTGCAGTTTTTTTTATCAATCTCAAAGAAAGAATCACATTTGAATTATGGAACCTCATTTATTCTCTCTCACTCGTCTTGAGATAGTGACTCTGGACTCAAAACTTTTGCTAGCTTCCATGATAGTGACACTAGACCTGTGATAGCTTCCATGACAGTATCTCCGTACCCAAGACCTATGCTAACTTCTATGATAGTGACTCTAGACATGAGCTTGCTTCCCTGATAGTAACTCTAGACCTGTGCTAGCTTCCATAATAGTGACTCTAGACCTGTGTTAGCTTCCATGACAGTGACACTAGACCTGTGCTAGCTTCCATGACACTAACTCTAGACCTGTGTTAGCTTCCATTACAGTGACTCTAGACCTGTGTTAGCTTCCATGACAGTGACACTAGACCTGTGCTAGCTTCCATGACACTAACTCTAGACCTGTGTTAGCTTCCATGACAGTGACTCTAGACCTGTGTTAGCTTCCATGATTGTGACTCCAGACCTATGCTAGCTTCCACGATATTGATGGCTCCTAGAGTGGGCACCTTGTACCTAGCTAGTGTAGATGATAATGAACTAATTAAAGATAATGATATTTTTTTGACTCAAGGTAGAGAATGGTGTTACCAACACGTAATATATTTGTTTGAAATATTTCAAATAGATTTTTCTTCTGCTTGTTACAGGCCAGCATCGCTGTTGGCACTGGGCCTGGGAAAGCAACGGCAGCTCTTGGAGAAGATCGCTGCCTCAGTAGAGGTTGGCGGTCACACACCTGTCTGGCTGACCTCACAGTGTCTCAAAGACAAATACGGGTTTGTCTTCTGTGTTAGAGCAGTTATATGGTGGGAACATTAATTAGTGTTGTGTTCTTGTTATATTCCATCACAAGGTTTGAATTTCATTCAGTACAAGAATTACATATGTCAACTTTAGCTGATAGACTTCGTAATAGCGAAGAAAATGTCAAAAATATTTACTAAAAGTGTAAATAGTTATGCTAAAATTAGTAAAGACTTTTTTTAGATTTTGCCGCCGAAGCAGCGAGTTCGTTGTGCACCCCTGTGTCCATCCTGTGGATGGTAGCCAAGAACGTATGGATACACAGAAGGCTTAGGAACTAGGACCCAAATGGGTTATCAGGAGTACAACTGGATTCAGATCTTCAGTTCACTTATCTGTTGCAAACAAATTTTGGAAATTTGCTTAATATGTCTTACATATCATTAATAAATATATTGGCATACCACTCAGGTTATTATACTGTCTATCTCTATATTCCTCAATAAGAGGACAATTAAGTACTTAGTGTTCAAGACAGTGACCAGAGGGCTGGCCACATACTTTGCATATCATTTATGTGTATACCAAACTGCCAGAAGGACCCAGGAGATCAGTCGAAGAGTCTGAAACGAGTGTGCACAGATAAAGAGGGAGGCCCAGCGACTGTATGATAATGACATAGCATCGAAAGTCAAATCTGACCCGTAGGAGGAAGACAACAGTCAAGGACCAAGTAATCAGGCTGAGGAAAGAAGGTGGGGAGCTCACAGGAAACGACCAAGAAGTATGTGAGGGGCTTCCAGCAGTGAGAAGACTGATGGATGTTTCCAGCAGCGACAAGACTGATGGAGGCTTCCAGCAGTGACAGACTGCTGGATGCATCCAGCAGTGACAGACTGCTGGATGCTTTCCAGCAGTGACTGACTCCTGGATGCTTCCAGGTGTGACAGACTGCTGAATGCTTCCAGCAGTCCATCACTGGGTAGTGGCTCATGTACTGGTCCATTGCCAGTGCATGTGTAACTTGTACATTCATGAAGGCTGAGGGACTGAACACATAATCTCTAGGCTGAGGGACTGAGCACATCATCTTTAGGCTGAGGGACAGAACACATCATCTTTAGGGTGAGGACTGAACACATCATCTCTAGGCTGATGGACTGAGCACATCATCTCTAGGCTGATGGACTGAGCACATCATCTCTAGGCTGATGGACTGAGCACATCATCTCTAGGCTGAGGGACTGAACACATCATCTTTAGGGTGAGGGACTGAGCACATCATCTTTAGGGTGAGGGACTGAACACATCATCTTTAGGGTGAGGGACTGAACACATCATCTTTAGGGTGAGGGACTGAGCACATCATCTTTAGGCTGAGGACTGAACACATAATCTCTACGTGAGGGACTGAGCACATCATCTCTAGGCTGAGGGACTGAGCACATCATCTCTAGGCTGAGGGACTGAACACATCATCTCTAGGCTGAGGGACTGAACACATCATCTCTAGGCTGAGGAACTGAACACATTATCTCTAGGCTGAAGGACTGAGCACATCATCTCTAGGCTGATGGACTGAGCACATCATCTCTAGGCTGAGGGACTGAACACATCTTTAGGGTGAGGGACTGAGCACATCATCTTTAGGGTGAGGGACTGAGCACATCATCTTTAGGGTGAGGGACTGAACACATCATCTTTAGGCTGAGGGACTGAACACATCATCTTTAGGGTGAGGGACTGAGCACATCATCTTTAGGGTGAGGGACTGAACACATCATCTTTAGGGTGAGGGACTGAACACATCATCTTTAGGGTGAGGGACTGAGCACATCATCTTTAGGGTGAGGGACTGAACACATCATCTTTAGGGTGAGGGACTGAGCACATCATCTTTAGGGTGAGGGACTGAACACATCATCTTTAGGGTGAGGGGGCTGAACACAATCATCTTTTGGGTGAGGACTGAAAACATCATCTTTAGGGTGAGGGGCTGAACACATCATCTTTAGGGTGAGGGACTGAACACATCATCTTTAGGGTGAGGGACTGAGGGACATCATCTTTAGGGTGAGGGACTGAGCACATCATCTTTAGGGTGAGGGACTGAAAACATCATCTTTAGGGTGAGGGACTGAACACATCATCTTTAGGGTGAGGGACGAACCATATCTTTAGGCTGAGGGACTGAACACATCTCTTTAGGGTGAGGGACTGAACACATCATCTTTAGGGTGAGGGACTGAGCACATCATCTTTAGGGTGAGGGACTGAACACATCATCTTTAGGGTGGGGGGACTGAACACATCATCTTTAGGGTGAGGGACTGAGCACATCATCTTTAGGGTGGGGACTGAACACATCATCTTTTAGGGTGAGGGAGAACACATCATCTTTAGGGTGGGGATGAACACACATCTTTAGGCTGAGGGACTGAACACATCATCTTTTGGGTGAGGGACTGAACACATCATTTTAGGGTGAGGGACTGAACACATCATCTTTAGGGTGAGGGACTGAGCACATATCTTTAGGGTGAGGGACTGAGCACATCATCTTTAGGGTGAGGGACTGAACACATTTATCTTTAGGCTGAGGGACTGAACACATCATCTTTTAGGGTGAGGACTGAACACATCATCTTTAGGGGGAGGGACTGAACACATCATCTTTAGGGTGAGGGACTGAACACATCATCTTTAGGGTGAGGGACTGAACACATCATCTTTAGGGTGAGGACTGAACACATAATCTCTACGTGAGGGACTGAGCACTCATCTCTAGGCTGAGGGACGAGCACTCATCTCTAGGCTGAGGGATGAACACATCATCTCTAGGCTGAGGGACTGAACACATCATCTCTAGGCTGAGGGACTGAAAAACATCACTTTAGGGGGAGGGACTGAACACAAACATCTTTAGGGTGAGGGACTGAACACATCATCTTTAGGCTGAGGGACTGAACACATCATCTTTAGGGTGAGGGACTGAACACATCATCTTTAGGGTGAGGGACTGAACACATCATCTTTAGGGTGAGGGACTGAGCACATCATCTTTAGGGTGAGGGACTGAGCACATCACTTTAGGGTGAGGGACTGAACACTTTATCTTTAGGCTGAGGGACTGAACACATCATCTTAGGGTGAGGGACTGAACACATCATCTTTAGGGAGGACTGAACACATCAATCTTTAGTGTGGGGGGACTGAACACATCATCTTTAGGGTGAGGGAAATGAACACATCATCTTTAGGGTGAGGGACTGAACACATCATCTTTAGGCTGAGGGACTGAACACATCATCTCTAGGCTGAGGGACTGAACACATCATCTCTAGGCTGAGGGACTGAACACATCATCTCTAGGCTGAGGGACTGAACACATTATCTCTAGGCTGAGGGACTGAACACATCATCTCTAGGCTGAGGGACTGAACACATTTTTCTTTTAGGCTGAGGGACTGAACACATCATCTCTAGGCTGAGTGACTGAACACATCATCTCTGGGCTGAGGGACTGAACACATCATCTCTAGGCTGAGGAACTCTACACTCATCTCTAGGTTGAGGAACTCTACACTCATCTCTAGGTTGAGGGACTGATTACCTCTCACTTTCTCACACTGGTTGGTGAAACGGTGTTAAGAGCTGTTGAATGAAAAATGAGATAGAAACAGTGATGTTAAAAGCTGTGAAATGAGAAATATGACAGAAGCATCCAGCAGTGATGATGTAAAAAACCGTGGAATGGGGAAATTTTTATAGAAGCATCCAGCGTGATGAGTGAAGCCTGTGGAATGGGGAAATATTTAGAAAGACCACGTGATAAAATAAAGCCTGGGAATGAGAAATATACAGAACAACCAGCAGTGTGAAAAAGCCCTGTGGAAGAGGATATTATAAAAAGCTCCAGCAGTGATATGTGAAGCCCGGGGAATGAGAAATATGACAGAAGAAACCACAGTGTGATAAAAGACCTGTGGAATGGGAATATTATAAAAGACCCCGCAGTGATGATATAAAGACCGTGGAATGAGAAATAACAAAAGATCCCATGAGATGTAAAGACCTGTAAAATGAGAAATATGAGAGAAATCAAAGTGATGATGTAAAAAAAGGGGAATGAGAAATATGTAGAAGCATCCCAGTGAGGGGAAATTATGATTTAATTTTTAAATGGTCCTTGCGAGAAAAATCCTGCTGCTAGTTTGAATAGAAACTTAGGTTTCAGGTTAAATTACTTTCTATCGAGCGTAAAAATTTTGCCACTTATAATTTTTAGTTTACAGCTGAGAGAAGATAATTTATGGAAGATTAGTGTCTTGTTTAGGTCATGATGTTTAACCCTTGACCTCTGATGAAATAATTGTTATTGTTGCAGGATCAATGTTGTTGATGACGGGATGGCTGTGCTTGACCCGTCAGGAGGGGTGCTCATGGCTGACAAGTGCCTGGCTGCCGTCCAGGTTAGTGTGGGGGAAGGGAAGTATCTGTCAGACTCTCGGTTAGTCTGTCTCTCTTTCTGTCTGTTTTTAACTATGATTTATGGGAGTTCTACTTTTTTCGCGACTGTCACCAGCAGGTAAGAAATATGATGGAATGACTTGTGTGTGTGAGATTTGCCAAGTTACGTGTGTGAGGGACGCTGCCTCACCAGACATGGTGACGGCTGCCTCGCCAGCCATGGTGATGGCTGCCTTGCCAGCCATGGTGATGGCTGCCTCGCCAGCCATGGTGATAGCTGCCTCGCCAGCCATAGTGATGGCTGCCTCGCCAGCCATGGTGATGGCTGCCTTGCCAGCAACGGTGATGGCTGCCTCGCCAGCCATGGTGATAGCTGCCTCGCCAGCCATAGTGATGGCTGCCTCGCCAGCCATGGTGATGGCTGCCTTGCCACCCATGGTGATGGCTGCCTCACCCTCTACGGTTATGGCTTCGCCGTCAGCCATGGTGATGGCTGGCTCACCTGCCATGGCGATGGCTGCCTCGCCAGCTCTTTCATGCAAAGAGTACGTAACCTTTATTCGGCGCATGTACACTCCCTCATTTACAGGCTATCTCCCCCAACCAGTGAACCAGGTGACTGAGGGTTGACGATGGAGCCCAGTCGTTCAACCAGTACCCAGGTTCCAGCCAATGAGAAGATGGTTTTGGCAATCGCAGAGGTTATGTGGGTACCACTCTCCTCTCTGCCCTTGTCATTCCCATTCTAGAGCTGGTTGAAGAACAGTCTGCTCTCTAGTGGCTTCTATTCTGCCTTGCTTACCTTGGAGTGCACTAATACCTATTGCTGTACATAGTGTATATAGTGTACATACTTCTGTTCTAAATTGGTGAAGGATGATATAAGTCAAAAGTTTTCTGCTGTGTTTATTTTGCTTCCTTTACACCCAGGATAACAGGCCATTTGGACTCCTGGGTTGTAATACCAGTCATGGTGATGGCTGCTTCGCCTGCCATGGTGATGATACAACCATCATTCCCTACCTTCCCTACAAGACAGCTACCCCACCCGCCTGGTACCACCACCCATCAGCTACCACCATCCACCAGCTACCACCACTCACCAGCTAAAACCACCCACCGGCTACCACTACCCACGAGCTTAAGGCTGTCATGTTGTATTGTCTCAAACGATGATGTTACAGTGTTGCCTCATGTCTTGTGAAGACAACCCTGGAAGGTGTAGTGAAGACAACCCTGGAAGGTGTTGTGAAGACAACCCTGGAAGGTGTAGTGAAGACAACCCTGGAAGGTGTAGTGAAGACAACCCTGGAAGGTGTAGTGAAGACAACCCTGGAAGGTGTTGTGAAGACAACCCTGGAAGGTGTAGTGAAGACAACCCTGGAAGGTGTTGTGAAGACAACCCTGGAAGGTGTAGTGAAGACAACCCTGGAAGGTGTTGTGAAGACAACCCTGGAAGGTGATAAATTAGACACATGTGCAACTCTTGGGTATCTTTATTGAGGAAACGTTTCGCCACACAGTGGCTTCATCAGTCCATACGTAGGAGAAACTTGAAGAACAGGAGGAGAATGAGGTAATCAGTCCCTCAACCTTGAGTCGATGTGTTCAGTCCATCAATCTTGACTCAAGGTTGAGGGACTGATTACCTCATTCTCCTCCTGTTCTTCAAGTTTCTCCTACGTATGGACTGATGAAGCCACTTTGTGGCGAAACGTTTCCTCAATAAAGATACCCAAGAGTTGTACATGTGTCTAATTTATCAACATGTCGGTTCTCTGAACCATCCATCTACAAACCCTGGAAGGTGTTGTGAAGACAACCCTGGAAGGTGTTGTGAAGACAACCCTGGAATGTCTTACGAAGACAACCCTGGAAAATCTTGTGAAGGCAACCCTTGAAGGTCTTGTGAAGACAATCCTGGAAGGTCTTGTGAAGACAACCTTCGAAAGTCTTGTGAAGACAACCCTGGAAGGTCTTGTGAAGACAACCCTGGAAGGTCTTGTGAAGGCAACCCTGGAAGGTCTTGTGAAGACAACATTGGAGGGCCTTGTGAAGACAACCCTGGAAGGTCTTGTGAAGGCAACCCTGGAAAAACTTGTGAAGACAACTCTTGAAGGTCTTGTGAAGACAACCCTGGAAGGTCTTGTGAAGACAACCCTGGAAGGTCTTGTGAAGACAACCTTGGAAAGTCTTGTGAAGACAACTCTGGAAGGTCTTGTGAAGACAACTTTGGAGGGTCTTGTGAAGACAACTCTGGAAGGTCTTGTGAAGACAACTTTGGAGGGTCTTGTGAAGACAACCCTGGAAGGTCTTGTGAAGACAACTTTGGAAGGTCTTGTGAAGACAACCCTGGAAGGTCTTGTGAAGACAAACCTGGAAGATCTTGTGAAGCCAACCCTGGAAGGTCTTGTGAAGACAACCCTGGAAGGTCTTGTGAAGGCAACCCTGGAAGGTCTTCTGAAGGCAACCCTGGAAGGTTTTGTGAAGACAACCCTGGAAGGTCTTGTGAAGGCAACCCTGGAAGGTCTTCTGAAGGCAACCCTGGAAGGTTTTGTGAAGACAATCCTGGAAGGTCTTGTGAAGACAACCCTGGAAGGTCTTCTGAAGGCAACCCTGGAAGGTTTTGTTAAGACAACCCTGGAAGGTCTTGTGAAGACAATCCTGGAAGGTCTTGTGAAGACAATCCTGGAAGGTCTTGTGAAGACAATCCTGGAAGGTCTTGTGAAGACAATCCTGGAAGGTCTTGTGAAGACAACCCTGGAAGGTCTTGTGAAGACAACCCTGGAAGGTCTTCGATTGAGAAGTTAAATAAAACATAATTAGTTTTTGTGATAAACATCTGAGATTACCGTGATGTGTTGCCTCAGACTGTGATGATGTGTTGCCTCAGACTGTGATGTTGTGTTGCCTCAGACTGTGATGTTGTGTTGCCTCAGACTGTGATGTTGTGTTGCCTCAGACTGTGATGTTGTGTTGCCTCAGACTGTGATGTTGTGTTGCCTCAGACTGTGATGTTGTGTTGCCTCAGACTGTGATGTTGTGTTGCCTCAGACTGTGATGTTGTGTTGCCTCAGACTGTGATGTTGTGTTGCCTCAGACTGTGATGTTGTGTTGCCTCAGACTGTGATGTTGTGTTGCCTCAGACTGTGATGTTGTGTTGCCTCAGACTGTGATGTTGTGTTGCCTCAGACTGAGATGTTGTGTTGCCTCAGACTGTGATGTTGTGTTGCCTCAGACTGTGATGTTGTGTTGCCTCAGACTGTGATGTTGTGTTGCCTCAGACTGAGATGTTGTGTTGCCTCAGACTGTGATGTTGTGTTGCCTCAGACTGTGATGTTGTGTTGCCTCAGACTGAGATGTTGTGTTGCCTCAGACTGTGATGTTGTGTTGCCTCAGACTGTGATGTTGTGTTGCCTCAGACTGTGATGTTGTGTTGCCTCAGACTGTGATGTTGTGTTGCCTCAGACTGAGATGTTGTGTTGCCTCAGACTGTGATGTTTGTGTTGCCTCAGACTGTGATGTTGTGTTGCCTCAGACTGTGATGTTGTGTTGCCTCAGACTGTGTGTTGTGTTGCCTCAGACTGTGATGTTGTGTTGCCTCAGACTGTGATGTTGTGTTGCCTCAGACTGTGATGTTGTGTTGCCTCAGACTGTGATGTTGTGTTGCCTCAGACTGAGATGTTGTGTTGCCTCAGACTGTGATGTTGTGTTGCCTCAGACTGTGATGTTGTGTTGCCTCAGACTGTGATGTTGTGTTGCCTCAGACTGTGATGTTGTGTTGCCTCAGACTGAGATGTTGTGTTGCCTCAGACTGAGATGTTGTGCTGCCTCAGACTGTGATATTGTGTTGCCTCAGACTAATGTTGTGTTGCCTCAGACTGTGATGTTGTGTTGCCTCAGACTGTGATGTTGTGCTGCCTCAGACTGTGATATTGTGTTGCCTCAGACTAATGTTGTGTTGCCTCAATCTGTGATATTGTGTTGCCTAAGACTGTGACATTGTGTTGCCTCAGACTGTGATATTGTGTTGCCTCAGACTGTGATATTGTGTTGCCTCAGACTGTGATGTTGTGCTGCCTCAGACTGTGATGTGTTGCTTCAGCCAGTGTTGTGGTGTTGCCTCAGACTATGATGTTGTGTTGCTTCAGACTGTAATATTCTGTTGCCTCAGACTATGTTGTGTTGCCTCAGACTGTGATGTTGTGTTGCCTCAAATTGTGATGTTGTGTTGCATCAGATTGTGATATTGTGTTGCCTCAGACTGTGATAGTGTGTTGCCTCAGACTGTGATATTGTGTTGCCTCAGACTGTGATATTGTGTTGCCTCAGACTGTGATATCGTGTTGCCTCAGCCTGTGATATTGTGTTGCCTCAGGCTGTGATATTGTGTTGCCTCAGATTGTGATATTGTGTTGCCTCAGGCTGTGATATTGTGTTGCCTCAGACTGTGATATCGTGTTGCCTCAGACTGTGATATTGTGTTGCCTCAGATTGTGATATTGTGTTGCCTCAGACTGTGATATTGTGTTGCCTCAGATTGTGATATTGTGTTGCCTGAGCCTGTCATATTGTGTTGCCTCAGAATGTGATGTTGTGTTGCTTCAGACTGTAATATTGTGTTGCCTTAGATTGTGATGTTATGTTTCCTCAGACTGTGATGCTGTGTTGCCTCAAACTGTGATGTTGTGTTGCTTCAGACTGCTTTGTTGAATTGTTGCCTCAGACTGTGGTGTTATTGTGTTGACTTCGAGTGTGGTGTTCTAGTGTTTCCTTAGACTGTGGTGTTGTAGTGTTGGCTCAGACAATGGTGTTGCAGTGTTGCCTCAGGCTGTAGTTTTGTAGTGTTGACTCAGACTGTGATGTTGAAGTGATGCTTCAGATTGTGGTGTTGCAGGGTTGCCTCAGACCTTGGTGTTGCAGTGTTGCCTCAGGCTGTAGTGTTGTAGTGTTGCCTCAGGCTGTAGTGTTGTAGTGTTGGCTCAGACTGTGATGTTGTAGT